AAGATAAGTACCTCAGGACAGTTGTAAGAGTAAAACAAATCTGAGAAAACTGTGATCTGTTTAAAGCGATCACATGTTCCAAGCTAGACCCCCACAGGTCCAAAAAAGGGTCCATCTGTTGAGAATCTAAATATATCCCCGCCTGGCGGTCATAAGCCAAAGCATGCTGTTCTGATAAATGTTGCGGACAAGAAATAGCTATCCTGTCGAGTAACTGAGCAGCAAATCTCCCAGCATAAACAGCAATATCAGAAGGAGGAAAAAACTGAGTAGTCACTTCCTGTCCTCTCTGCCAACAAGGAAGGAGTAGAGTCAAATGCAATAGGAGAGACCCCAAAACCTTACAAACCCGAGTAACCAACTGAAGAAACGGGGCTGGAGGTGGCTGATCAAAATTATCCTCTGTTGAGGCTGATCTAGTAAAAGAAAGACCCAGAAAAAAGTGAGTCTAAATTCTCCCCAGCTTGTTCCAGGTCATTTGCAAAACCCACCTCAGAAACCCCCAGAGACACCCTCAGTCTCCATATGTCTCCATCTCACAATGGATCATATCATAAACAGTTTCAACTGAGAGTGACCCCTCCCCTGGCCATTGACAAATATCAGATTAAAGAGGTCTTGTTGGACTCTGTAGTAGACATTAACTCAGACAATTCATACCCACCGTTACAATTTTTTTTTGTTAAAGTAATTTATAAATATAAACAAAGATATAACTGTAGAAATGCCAACCACGTTCAAAGTCACAACATAAATTGAAAATAATCACAACATTCCTGTATATAGAAATCCGTGCCAAATGCTTTGCCAAGAAAAAGTGATTACATCATCTGAAGGAGGTGCTTATATACAGTACCTAGACAGAAGGCACATTGAAGTTGGTGGAAAATTTGCCAAGAACATTCGAGTGGGGTATAAAAGACTGGAGTGTTTTCAATGCTTAGATGGGCAAAGAGTGGAAATCCTGGAGATTGAGAAACAGCTATAGTGTCAGCAGAGGTAAGTATGTTTTGGAATGACAATTAAATCAATTAAAGTCTTGAAAATAATCAATTAATTTAAATTAATATTTCAGATTATTATTATTTCTATTATTCCAACTATCTAAGTAATGTAAGTATCGCCATTTCGGTTTATCATTATTTTTTATTAATTCAAGGTTGATTAGCTTAATTGACTGGTCTCACGACTCACGAAAAGAATCAACTAATTGAAATTAGTGCTCTCAATTATTCCGACTATCTAAATCTGATGTGAGCATCAGTGATTAGTTGAATGTTATTGATTAATGAGTCTGACAATTAATTGACAAGCAAATTCCACTTATATTCCAGTGTTTGTTTATTAAAGATTAGAAGTCTTTATCTCAGAGTTTTCTTTACCTCATCTTGTTCATCAGCGGTAACCCCACTTTCAGCAGTAGTGGAGACTGTACCTGAATCAGTGACTAATGGCAGTGGTTCCGTTACTCTCGGCAGGAGTGGGGGAGGATTTTTGTACTGCTCTTTAATTGCATCAGGAACCTAAATTTAATAAATAAACCAAAGTCATCAAACACAGGTACTGGTTTGCCAGTTTTTCTGAATGAGGAGTAAAGTTACCTCAAGAAAGAATACATAATAATAAATAATTGGTGTTAAAATATATAAATAATAGTGTTATTAATCCTTACCCTAAGTCTGATTAAAACATTAATAATAATTCTACGTCACCAACGTTAACATTTTCCTTACATAAAAATGCATTTCCAACAGAAACCTCTTACACACTTTCTCATGTGTCTGTCAAAGAGATTCACATGGCATTAGCCTTGAGACAATCCCTACCTAATTTCCAGTGATTTTACATATATTGCACTGTACATGTTGACATCATCATGTGGTGAAGCCTTCCACCAATAAGAGGGCAACACACCTCCATGCACTCTCCCCCCTAAGCATTTGTGAATCTTCATTTCTTGATGAGGCAAGTAAGAAAATGTGTACCAGAAGAAGGGAGGATGGGTAGGAATATATGCAATGGTGAGTATCTATCAGATAAACATTTTCATGTAAGGGAAATGTTAACTTCTGAGATGATACTCACCTCTACACACAGTTTAGCTAGAACCCCACATTGAGAAGAAGGAAAGACCAGTGCAAAAGTTACCTAGATGAGCACCCTTCAGAAAGCTTCCAAAGGATGCCCATGAGGTGTGACACCCAATTCCATGTGTTCCATAGGGGCAGACCGTATCTTGTCTCATCCAAAGTATACAGTTTGCCCATATAGGAAAGGAAAAAGAAAAGAAGCCAGAGCTGTGTCACAGGAATCGGCAGAATTGGTACCTAAAGGGAGAGGTTCATGATACGGCATACCACATGGTCCAACAGGACACAGAAGTTGGTCCAATAGGGGAGTGACAGAAGAAAGGAAGATCAGAGAGAAGTATGGTGTACCTCCTGAGCAGTAAAAACCCAATGAAGAAAGGATTGTTTTGGGGATATATAAATATTAGTGTGGTGGAAAAGGGTGCAAAAAGCATCCAAAGCAAAGAAATCGGAGGAACAGTAATCGTAGGAGAGAAGTAGGAGGAAACAAGTCAGGAGATAAAGACTGTACAAAAGCCACAAAGTAACAGTTCAAATGGGGCATGCATGAGACTGTACAAAACTTCATCAAGGTCTCAGTCAGGTAAGGGAGTTGGGTGAGGAGAACAGAGAGGAAAGGGGAAGAATCACCTCTTGATACCAGAAAAGGAGAAAGGCCATGGACAGGGCCACCTGACAACTAGGAAAGGTGACACACAGAATTACTACCAGGAGGAAAATGGTGGCAGACTGATTAATTGCAAAAGACTAACTACAGATGGTGATAGACAAATACATTGGAATTATTACAAGAATAATGCCACATTGGAGGAAAGTGTGGCCCGATAGGTGACAGATTGGATAAATTCCATGCATGAGGGTGGAATGAGGATACCTCTCTAGGAAGAAGAGAAGTGTAAGAGAGAGGATAACAGGAAGGGAAGGTCCAAATATCAAGTGTACAAAGCCTAAAAGGCCCAAGAAGGGGAGTAGTTTGTAAATCTGAGACCAAGAAGGAGAAGGCAGATAGAGGAGTAGATATAGAGCAAAAAGTACAACCAGGCCTAGCTGAGAAATCAATGGAAGAGCCTATGGATGAGGTGTAGAGGGTCTTAAGAGAGGAAGCCCAAAGTTGAGCAGGGTGGTAAAATCATCAAAGATGAAAGTGTCCAACCAAGGGTAAGCCTCACAGAAGATCTCAGGTGTAGCGGCTATTTTATGGACTGGGCAAAAGAGGCAGTCCCCCACCGATACTGAAACTCCCATCAAAGGATATGAACAGCCTCAGAAGTGCATTATTAATGGCTGAAAAAAAAAAAAGGTTTCTGGAACAGGACCCATAAGAATGATTAGAGAAGGAAAAGACCATGAAATAGACTGAGTGAAGCATAACTAAGTGAACCCTCAACAGGGCAAGCAATGGAAACATCTTTGATTACCTTAATGTGGAGTGAACTCTTGTCTAGTATACACACACTGAAAATCAAGCCCTCAATGAAAAGTGTACCTCAGAGAGAGAGAAGAATCGAAGAAGGAAAAAATATGGCTTAAGAGATGGTAAGGGAATGCAGGAAGTAGTACAGACAGGCTCCAGTCACCATGAGAATTTCTTGAGGAAAGGCTCATGAAAGAAGACAATGGACCCCACGAGAGAAAACCTTAGTTCCACATGCTTCACTGTGGGAGATACTTAAGGGCATGTCTCAAAGGAATGAGGGTTTCTAGGGAAGTCAGAGATCCTAAAAGTGAAAGAACCTCTCAGGCAGGGAGAGAACATAAAGTGTAAAACCTGTTGAACAGATTTACCATAGCACACAGGAAAAGAAGATAGGATGAAGTCGTTTGAGATGAGAAAAGAAGCAAGTGTCCAATAGTACCTAACACTAGGTGGGTGTGAGAAATACCCCCCCTCCCCCCAACCAAGTAGCCACCATAAAGGAAGAAATGTAGGTTAAAGAACAAACATCCAAGAATGGACTAACAGATATAAATAGTAAAAGAGAAGAGATGCCAGCCTCAGGTCATGAATATGGAAAGGCCCTCCCGATACCAAGAAATATAAGAGGTGCCGATGCACAGTCATAGGGAAGAGCAGGGAATGGAAAGAAAGATGGACAGAACAAAGAACAGAAAGGTTGAAAATACAAAGTGAAGTTGTTGAAGTAGTTACCTCAAAAAGTCTCACATCTAAACATAACCATGCCAATGAAAAGAATGAGATATTTTGCATGCAGTTGTAGAGGGAGCATTTGTTCAAGGAGGTGTGTAGCACTCTTATTGGTGGAGGGTTTTGCTGCATGATAAATCATCATGCAGTAGCACAATTTCACGTGATTCACAAGAATTTTAGGTGGAAGTTTCACAACGCTGATGGCATGCAAATCTCTCTGGCAGATTAGCACAATTTCAAGAAGAAAATAACTATCTGTCTATGAAGGTGAGTGATTGTATCGGAACTATCAAGTCCCCCTTAACTATTTTCCCACACACATACATTTTTGATGTCACTGTCTCCTTAAAACATCCAGCTACTCTTCACTCAAAAAGCTTTGCCACTCTGTCCATATTATATAAAATTCAAACCATAGATACATCTGAGAACAAAATTATAAATTACAAGCTCACTAACTGGAATTGGTCAATATTTGTCCCTAATCAGTCACTTATGAGAAAAAGAATACATATACTGATATGTACATACCACCACACATCAACTGACACCATATCATATAGTCAGTATTATTTACAACTATAGACTTATAAAATGGGATAAGCTCAACAGTTCAAAAGAACATACCACCACACATCAACTGACACCATATCATATAGTCAGTACTTATTTACAACTATAGACTTATAAAATGGGATAAGCTCAACAGTCTAAAGATGGAGACAAGTGCACTTCTATCCTCCATCTTGACATTGAATAGCAAGATATTAGGTGTAAGAGATGATGTATTAGTTTAGAATTAGCGAGTCGTCAAATATCAAAATTAGATAATTTTAAATTGTAAGATGCAAACAACAATCAATTATGCTAAACTACAATACTGATAAAACATATGTATATATATATATAGATAGATAGATAGATAGAGAGATAGATAGATACACACACACACACACACACACTTATTACAGTCATATCAGGATACTATTCAATTTCAAATACTTTCATTTCTATAACTCAATTAATTAATAATTAAATGTTACACAATAACACACAGTCTATCTTGGCTTGTGTATGACTGTGAATAATCAACATAAAAAAAATAGGAAAGTATTTTTTATCGAATTCTGAAATAATAATTTCATTCTGTTAAACATTTTAATAAAAGTGTTTAGCAGATCGAACATTACAACTGTTGTTTTCTGTAGTTAACAATTATATTGCATATCTAATCATCAACCCATCAGGCTTAGGCCTAACGCTTAGGCCTAACATAAAAAGGTATTTTTTGGTCTAGTATTAGGGTGAATGCTAGTAGGTTGTTATGCCTCTGGTTACAATATGAAACATTTCAAAGGCAGTTGATAAAATGATTAAATAATTGCAAGAAGAATCTGAAAAAAATAACTGATCTGTTATTAGCAACTGATTTATTGGTAATGACCCGATTTTCTTAACGACACATCACTTCGAGTAATCTATTACAATATAAACATCAGAAAGATATGTCACTATATAAACTACGGATTTCTGAAACCATTTATTTCATGAATAGATGTTATCAAAGACTTTTTAGGAATTAAAAGGTACGACTTGGATACACTGATCAAATTTCATTGAAAAGATTTTTGACATTTAAATACATAAAACTTTTTCAAGTACACCATTTACTTATAAAATATTTATGCAAAAACAACTTGTAAACAACATTCCATATTAAATTACCTACCCTAATGGTGTTTCGAGGTGGCAACCTTACTCTGTATCTAAATGGTGGGTTTCTTCTATGGACCTTCTTTAAAAAGTTCAACTTGACAGTATCTTGAGATATTGGACCATTATATATGTCCCATAGCTTCACTCTTTCTGTTAAGCTCACTGAAGTCAGCAATTTTTCTTCCTGAACAAAAAAGAGTGAGAATACTAAATATAACAAGTTTCCACAAATACAAGAATTTCATAGTCACAAAACATAAAACTAGATGTACTTCTACATGGTTCCCAAAGAGTGTTCTGTATGAAGAGTAAATAAAACCAAAATTAAGAGTTTGTTTGTTTGTTATGGAGTTCGGGCAAAGCTACATGAGGGCTATCTGTGCTAGCCATCCCTAATTTAGCAGAGTAAGACTAGAGGGAAGGCAGCTAGTCATCACCACCCACTGACAACTCTTGGGCTACTCTTTTATCAACAAATAGTGGGATTGACCGTCACATTATACCACCTCCACGGCTGAAAGGGTGAGCATGTTTGGTGTGACGGGGATTTCGAACCCACGACCCACAGATTGCGAGTCGAGCACCCTAACCACCTGGCTATGTCGGGCAAAATTATGAGTAACAAATATTTTTATTTCTTGCTTTTCATGTTATGTCATGTTGTGTTGTCGGCTACAGAGTGCATAATTTTTCTCATGATTAACCCTTTCACGACGAGCTCAGTATAATATACACGGGTTTGTAAACACATTTGCACATGTTAAGTATTTATACTATAACTTTTAATGCTGTAAGTGTATGTTCACAAAGTTTGGTAAAATAGATATAAATTTAATTTTTTCTTTCTAGAATGACTACAAATTATAACACGAAAACACAAATGTTTAGTCTAAATAGCTTAAATCTCATAACATTATACATTTATTATTTTTATTATATTGACCTTCCAGTCATGCGTGGCTAACAATACAGAAGTTACAATGATGCAGCACACGCACGTTACTGTATCCAATAATATAAAACTGACCTTTAGTCTTTACAAAGTGACATGTCCTGGCTGTGTTTTATTGGACTAGTATTTTGTAAAATACAATCACATTTCAATTATTATATATTATATATGTATATAGATTATTACAATTTAGAAATAAGTTCTTAAACCTATTTTTCTT